CATGTTGTTGCGATTAGTCATTACAGTTCCTCATGTTGTGGCGATTAGTCAGTACAGTTCCTCAATGTTGTGGCGATTAGTCAGTACAGTTCCCTCATGTTGTGGCGATCATTCAGTACAGTTCCTCATGTTGTGGCGATCATTCAGTACAGTTCCTCATGTTGTGGCGATTAGTCAGTACAGTTCCTCATGTTGTGGCGATTAGTCAGTACAGTTTCTCATGTTGTGGCGATTAGTCAGTACAGTTCCTCATGTTGTGGCGATTAGTCAGTACAGTTCAACGTGTTCGGGCGACCCATTTGTTCAGTTTCTCACGTTGTAGTGTCCCTATTCATAGAATTATTTTCGTTGCTTCTTCATACCTTAACTCAGTATGTGTTATCCGATGGTCTTAGGCGACCCTTGCGATCCACAGGTTGAGAACCGCTTTTTCTAGTCTGTATAGCATTGACGATTTGTTATGTCCTGCAAGCCAAGCACTTGATGCTTCAGCAACCACGAGTGGTGAGTGGGGTGGGGTGGGGGGGGGGGGGGAGGATAATGTGCCCCACCCCCTTTCAATTAACACTGTCTATCTATCTAATCTATCTATCTATCTATCTAATCTATCTATCTATCTATCTATCTATCTATCTATCTATCTATCTATCTATCTATCTATCTATCTATCTATCTATCTATCTATCTATCTATCTATCTATCTATCTATCTATCTATCTATCTATCTATCTATCTATCTATCTATCTATCTATCTATCTATCTATCTATCTATCTATCTATCTATCTATCTATCTATCTATCTATCTATCTATCTATCTATCTATCTATCTATCTATCTATCTATCTATCTATCTATCTGTCTGTCTATCTATCTGTCTATCTGTCTGTCTGTCTGTCTGTGTGTCTGTCTGTCTGTGTGTCTGTCTGTCTGTCTGTCTGTCTGTCTGTCTGTCCGTCCGTCCGTCCGTCCGTCCGTCCGTCCATCCTTCTATCTATTTATCTATCTATCTATCTATCTATCTATCTATCTATCTATCCTATCTATCTATCTATCTATCTATCTATCTATCTATCTATCTATCTATCTATCTATCTATCTATCTATCTATCTATCTATCTATCTATCTATCTATCTATCTATCTATCTATCTATCTATCTATCTATCTATCTATCTATCTATCTATCTATCTATCTATCTATCTATCTATCTATCTATCTATCTATCTATCTATCTATCTATCTATCTATCCTATCTATCTATCTATCTATCTATCTATCTATCTATCTATCTATCTATCTATCTATCTATCTATCTATCTATCTATCTATCTATCTATCTATCTCTCTTAGTATTTATTTTTACATCTCATAATATTTTATATGTATTATCATTCAAGGTCATCGAAAATAAGCGCCAGGAATTCAAACATTGAAATATTTAAAAAAAAAGATATTTAATGGATGCACTCGTTGGAGTCTTAAAATGTTTAGAAAATTTTAAAATTTTAGAGTTACCTTATTACACATGGATATGGACGCTTTTTGTAGCCTTGGTGATGTCTATGTGGTATTCAGTCTCCTGTCAGGTCTTCTGAATGGTACCCAGAGTAACAGTTGCAATTGCAGCAGCGACTCTTTCTGTGAGGCGATGGATGGTTTCATATCTTCTCAATACTGCTTTAAATCTCATTTAGTATCCTGTCATCTCCTTGTGGGGTGCAATTTTTCATTATTTGAAGCACTACTCTGGCTCTTGCCAAGGGCCGCAATATAGCACGGCCATAAATATGGTCTAATGGCTGAACGCGGTTTCTGGGACCTCTCCGCGGTGATGCTCATTCGCATGGTGGCACTTTGTGTCATCGGGTGTTTATCGCTTGTGTGATGTCTTTTGACTGACTGACTGACTGACTTCTACACCACCCACATCTCGTCTGCTTCGAGATTTTGTAGCACATTCCTAGGGATCCCGAGGGGTTTCGCAGGACAGTACCATATTATGGGGCGGGTAGGGGGGGGGGGGGGGGGTGAAAAGTAAGAGCTAGTGTTAAATGTATAACTACTATATGGGACGTTCTGGGGATTTCGCAACCAAATCTCGAAGCCGACGAAATGTGGTCGTATAAAATTATAGCCCCTGTGTCTGAGAGAGAGAGAGATTGTCGAATGTGATGTGGTTATTTGGGTGAGTGTGAATGTGTGTGTGTTTCGTTCCCCATTGACTGGGTCAGCGTGAGTATTTTGAATGTTCGTGTGGATTCCTTGGGGACAAATGCAATATTTCACTCTAATTTTTTTTTTTTTTTTATCACGCTAGTCTCTAGTTTTCCGATTGACCTAATTTCTGGAACAGTTACTGGGTGCTGGAATTATGTGTGTTACAACTTGAAAGCGGGGTTTTCACATTCATTCATTTACTCGTAAGGGGGCTGTGTGGTCTCGAGGCATGGTATCAGGCTTGAGTGCTAGAGGTTCCGGGTTTTATCGCCGGTAACGGC